TCTGTCCCACGGCCCGGCCGGCCCGGGCCGGGCAGTACCTGGCGGACGGAGCGCGGAGGCTGCTGGGTGGGAACGCGCCGCTCAGCCGCTCCCCACGCGCCGGGCCCCGACGTACAACTCGCCTCGCTCCCAAAATGGCGCCGCTCCGAGCCGCAATGCTCTGCGCCCAAACCTCGCGAGAGCCGCCGAGCCCGGCGCTGCGGGACTCCCCCTCCCCCCGCCCGACACAACGATAAAGGGGCGGGGCCTGGTACAGCCTGAGCCAGCGGGGAGTCCTTCTGCCGTGACGTCACCGGGAACAATCCCGAACGTTCCGAGCGCTGCGCAAGGGGAATCCCCAGCGCGTCGGAGCCGGGAGTCCCCCGAAGGAGGGGGGAGTTTTTTACCGTAATTAATGGACTCCCCGGGGCCGCGCGATGACGCCGGGGATCGCGGCGCGGGGGATGCCGGCAGGGAAGTCCGGGAGCCCCGCAGGTGCGCGCTGCCTCGGCGCCTCCTGCTCAACGCGGAGCCGCGTCCTGGGCTTCCCGAGCACCGCCGGGCTCCGGGCGGCAGCGGGCGAAGCCAGGCTCGCACACCTAGGCCCTGTGCAGCCGTAGCAGCCCTGCGCTCGGGTCCTTCGTGGTGCCGCTTAGGCAATACAGACCTACCCTGCCTGCCACAGGTAAAGCAGATGAACCACAGCAGACGCATCCTTCAACGTATGGTCAAGGGCTCTATTTTCTCTGTAATAAAAAGAGGAGTAAACTAGGAGCTGGCTTTTTCCGAAAGGTGCCTGGAGTCTCAAAAAAGGTTGGAAATCACTGCTCTACAGCATCTTTCCACGATTGTATGGGTAGCTTTTGTGTGCAGTGTGGACTCCCTCAGGATGCACCCTAACATCTTCCATGCTGCTAAGACAAAACTATTCACCCTTCTCAGAAGTCCGCCACAGTCAAATACAAAATCAGTGACATTTTTATTCACTGCAGATCCTGCATGCCAACAGCATTAGCCATTTTGTGGTCAGAATGGGATGTTCCCATTGTTTAACTCAGTGATGCGAGAGCTGCTCATTGAGTGCAAAAATATGGACGTGAAATACAGCTACACAAACAAGCTTGTCACACCCTGAAGCAGGGGTCTGTCTACATGCGATTCCATCCATAAGACACTTCCTAAGGGTAATAATCTATGTTGTTTTCCCAGCTACACCATAGTTTTCTTCTAAATATAAGAGAATGAAAGGGAAGTAGGGCCCTGATCCTTATCCAACACTTATACATATGATTAATTTTATGCATATAAATAGTCATGCGGGGTAATTAACGTGAAGCTGATAAACATTTTTAGGCTAAACTTAAGTCTGTAGGTGAAAACTGATATGTGTATCCCATGGAAGCAACTCCGTGGCTGTTAAGCCATACTAACTCTAATAAAAGATAGCAAGAGCAGAAACCAGACAATTAAAAGCAATGGGATTTGATTCCTGAATCAACTGGATTTGAACCTGGTGTCGGGAAATAGGATTTTAATTTTATAATGTAAACTTTAAAAAAAAGTCTTTTCATTAAGTTTTAAAATGTTTATGAATTAAGTAGATTCACAAAATAGCAAAATAATGTGTATAGGAAACTTTAAATGTATTTGAGATTATTTTATTTATAGCTGTATACAGTATTCTAGATTATAATAATATATATTAAAAATATATTATATATGTTATTGTTTTATTTAGAGCTATATAAAAGTATTCTATTTTAGAGCCATAAATAGTGAATTTCTGGAGTTCTTTTCACTTTGAAAACACATTTCCATGTAAAATTTCAGTGCAAATCTTGGACATGAAAATCTGATGTAAGGAAAGGAAAAATGATGATTCAATTAATAAAATAAAACACCAACAGTATGTTTAAATGTCATCCAAAATGATGCTGACAAGTATTTTTATGGTTTAAATTTTATACTGTGCTCTTTATTGTTTGCAGTTCCTTTTATGACTTTGACATTTTTAAAGGATCTTAAATGAAGAGCTGATTTTAAAACTGTCAAACTGCTGATTTCTATCCTGCCAAATTGCAAGTTTTTAAAATCCATTAAGAGGAGGTATAAGTTGCCAAAAATGGGTTCTTTGTTATATTACTTGTTATTAGGTAAAAGACTGATTAGGAAAAAAAAAACAGAGAGAAAATTAGAAAGTAGAAAAAATACATAAAATAATTTATTCTACTTTTCACAATGAATGGAATTTATGTAAAGGATCTAGTTTTTCAGTAAAAATAGTTGCACATACAAAAAAACAGTTAAGGCCAACCTAAAGAGATATAAATGCATACTCTGGAAGATAACATCCATTTTATTGAGAGTTTGCTCAAAACTAGAATAAAACTTTCAATTGGCTTTGTAATCTCCCATGTCATTCACTAGTGCACCTCATTCTTACGGGTTTTTCGGCCTTTGCCATCACTTGGGGAATGGATAGCTTGTTGCTAGGTTAGATGTCTTGGAAGGTCTCCAGGGATTCTTTTCTGCCACGTCTTTGCTGGAATAAATTCATTTACCGGGAAGAAGATGGTACATCTTGCCTTTCCTGGCACCCTCCTTCAGCTTCCCATCTGTCTTCCCGTTTTGGGTCTCCACCTCACCTACACCCCTCCTAATGCCAACCAAGGATGTTATTTTTCAATTCTCTTGGGCTTGTCATGGTATAGGTTTTTTTGTCTTGGTCTTTTAATTTAGAAAAGGTCTTGTCCGGATGTTGTCTCATCCAGATTTGAGGCTGTATTATAACTGGCCTAGAATCTCTCCTGACCCCAGGTTACCTGGTTTCCTGGTGTATTCTTCCCTCTCTCTGGTTTGTATCCATTGCTGTCCAAGTGTCCATCTCCCTTTCTTCCCTCAGGCCCCTGGTTGGTCCACTCCTGTGCAGAGATGTCTGGGGTCCATGGCGTAGTATCTGTTAAGTAGCTTAGCCCTGCTGGGCTTAGTTTATTTTCAAAAGCCCCCTCCTGGGGCTGCCACCACTTTCCCTGAGTGAAGCTATGCTCCACTCCAGGCTGCTCTGGGTCTACCAGAAGACTCACTTCCAGTCCTCCCTGTCTTTGGTCCAGCAGGGTTTTTATTCTCTCTCTGAGGGTCTGGCATGCTGCCCAAGGCTGGAGCCGGTCCTGCTCCTCCTGAGCCCATTCCTCCTTTTCCTCTTTGTTCTTGCCGCAGCATTTTTCCTTGCCATGGCTCCGCTCTCACCATGCTTCCAGCTTGTTGCGGCATCCCACAAGTTCTGCTTCTCTCCTTCAGGTGAGTCTTTCCAAGTGGCATCATCCTTGCCACAGACTTATACAGGGAAGTTAAGGAAAGTACCAGTGAAACAACAACAGTAGGAATAATAATTACCCTTTAGCTCAATGGTTGACAACCTTTTAAGGCTGCAGGCTGGAATGATCCAGTTTAGGTCAGGCAAAGGTGATCTGGCAGGTAGAAGGGTGGGTGCCTGCACAGGGAAAGTGACTGCTGTCAAAACCTATTACCACCCAATGCCACCAAAGCCCCATGTCTGTGGGCTGGATCAAAACATTCTGTTGGCCAGATCCAACCCATAGGTTACAGGCTATCAACCCTTGACCTAGGACCTTCTGCTTCATGAGTCCTGGAATGCAGTCATGTGTACTAAGCCAGGCCTCCAGTATGGACTTCTGCTGCTACAGTTGTCAGAGTGAAGTGTGATCCAAACTGACATAATTGTGCCAACAAATGCCCTTAGAGTAGAAGCAAGTTTAGAACCATATTGTGCAATTTTCATACCCTAGACACAGCTCCCTTCCACACAGGATTTGTTTCCACTTCAGATTATGACCCCCTGGACAGAGAATGCTAACCACAGTGAATCCCTGCCTCAGGTAGAGCACCTTCTCATAAGGATATGTCTATAAGGCACTAGACAGCACCGTCCTCAATGTCTAGCTGGCAGCTGGTATGAAGTGCAGTGCCTTAGAGCAGAGGTTCCCAACCCCCAGGCCGTGACCTGGCTGCTGATCCACAGGAGGGTTGGCTGCCAAACCAGAAGTCCAGAAGTGATCGGCGTACTGCAGAGCAGCAGCCAACCCCTTTTTTTACTGACAATAAAAAAGGGTTTACTGCCACTCCACAGTATGCTGGTCACTTTCAGACTGCACTTTGCCAGTGCATAATCTGCCAATCCGCGGCCACTTCCAGTCCGTGGTTTGCGGTCTAAAAATGGTGGGAACCACTGCCCTAGGGGTTGGTCCTGGGACCAGTTTTGTTCAATATTTTTATTAACAACCTGGAAGATGGGGTGGAGTGTACCTTCAGCAAGTTGGCAAATGACACCAAGCTGAGGGGAGTAGTAAATATGCTGGAGGGCAGGGCTAGCATTCAGAAAGACCTATACAAATTGGAGGATTGGACAAAAATAAATCTCATGAGGTTCAATAAGGACAAGTGGAAAGTCCTGCACTTGGGACAGGACAATCCCATGCACTGGTACAGGCTGGGAACTGACTGGCTAAACAGCAGCTCTGCAGAAAAGGACATGAGGTTTACAGTGGACTAGAAGCTGAACATGAGCCAACAGTATGTCCTTGTTGTGAAGACAGCTAACAGCATGCTGGGCTGCATTAGTAGAAGCATTGCCAGCAGATCAAAGGAAGTGATTATTCTCCTCTTTTCAGCATTGGTGAGGCCACATCTGGAGTACTATGTCCAGTTTTTGGCCCCCTGCTATAGAAAGGATGTGGAGAAATTGGAGAGACTCAGGCAGAGAGCAAGGGAAATGGTTAGGTGGCTGGGGCAGCAGCTTTATCCAGCCAGGAACGTCTAAGTAGACCCAGCTGAGCCTGCCCTGGCTGTATTGCTCTTAAAGCAACATCAGCCAGGAAGTGTTTTGAAGTTCCCACCCTAGCAATACTGCCTATGGGGGTGGTGGGTAATTCTGGCACCCCTCCTAATTTGGCACCTGGGACAGGTGCCCTGCTTGTTCAATTCTAGTTACGCTACTGTACTCCTATACTGATAAGCAGTCCTAATGTAGACCGTCACAGTTCGCCAGCAGGAGTAAAGGGAAAGTGTTGACTGCAGAGTCAGATAACTGAATTAATGAAGCAGCTGTAGTAAAAAAGAATGTATTTTTGGTCTCCTAGCCTA